ACGTCTACAAGCGGCCTAATGTATAAAATCTTAAACCCCTCATACAAGGTGAAATACATTTTTCGCTTCTCGGCCCTTTGGCTAAAATCAAAGTAAGTATGAAAGTGAAATAAATTGAAAAATCACTGAAACAATTTCCTTTGAAAACTGTTTTAGTACATTTTCATCAGGAGTGGAGGTCACGTATCGGAAAACGCAGCGTGGGACGTCCATCCACAAGGTGGACCGACGACCTGATAAAGGTAGCTGGAAGGCACTGGATGCAGGCCGCTACCAACCGTGCGATGTAGAAGTCATTGGGGGAGGCTTATGTTCAGCAGTGAACGTCCTTTGGCTGAAATGATGATGTGATATTTTCATCCAAATTACCAAAGGGTAGGCGGAGGCTATTAATACCATTTGGTACTCAAGTTTATAAATCAGTTTGTGTATGAGATTTAGGTTTATGTATAAGGAACCGAGCTTACGTTATTATTGGTACCTAAAAGGTTATTACGTGTTGTAATAAACCGGTTAAAGTTACCATAGGAGTGGATTAGTGACATTTTGAATAAACGCAATAGCATTATAACTTTATACGTATATTATAAATAGGTAAACCATTCCTTTGTAGATTTTATTCTATTCTATACCAGGATTTCAGTAAAAAAGTTTTGAAATCATAGTTCAATCGGTATACCTAATATGTGTGCAACTAAAATTTTATAGCAAATACTAGTAGGTACAACAATCATAATATAAAACAGGAAAAAAACATTATCAGCTAATTACTGAGGATCGCACGCAAATTAATTGATCCTCTAGAAATCATAATAACACATTACAACCGCAAAGTATAGCAGTCACAACGCGAATTACTAAAAGTACCTACTTACTTAATCGTAGGTTTAGTTGATAGAAAAATGTCACCATCTTTTTATAAGAAAAGAGTCATAATTAGGTCTGGGTTGCACCATATAACAAACGTCGATAAATCTGTTAAACTGCATACAAAAACACCTTTTATGGTTATAGTTACTGTTAAAATAAGATGCAGTCGCCTTATGCAAGCATCAACCGTGGAGGTATTATCGACTACTTCATCGTAAATTAGATGTCGGAAGTCAATAAATTAATTTACAGTCACACAAACACTACAAATAATATCCTAAATAGTGTAAATTGGTTCAAATAGGTGTTAATATCATATTGTTATTTTTTAATACAGTTATGTGTCTAACTTTATTGAGCTAATAAATCACGGATGATTAACAAACTTATGTATACTTCTGTAACTGATATAATTGATTATGTATAATTTACGTGAATGAAAGTATACTTACTTAATTCTCGTATTATATTCGTGTTTCAATCGTTAGCTTCATTTTTCTCTACGACTGAAAAATGATAATATTTTATACTTTTGTTTGAAATCCATTAAACCGCACGGATCACTTGCTTTTCCATAACAATTGAGCGAAGTTAAACATTTAGAAATAGCAAAGAAAATTATTTAAAAATGAATAATATCTATGAATCAAACTGAACGAATGCACTTGCAAGTGGATTGAATTAAAGAGTAAGTGTTTCAATGAGCAGATAATAAATAATATAACATTGTTTACTAGCGGCTCGCCCGGCTTCTCTCGGGTATATTCTTTTATATAATTAACAAAAATATAAAAAAAACATTTTGAATAAGAAAATGTGTTTTTCTTTTATTTTATTTTTTTGTTCATTTTCCTAAGTTTTTAATAGTTTTCTCTTTTAGGGATGGAGAAAAATATGACAAAAAAAAACATGAAAATCGGTCCAACTGTTCTGGAGTTAGAAATGGTGACCAAACCCGACTTTGTTTGAGATAATGCAAAAAGGAAACAGTTTTTATGCTTGTTTGTTGACTTCATAATTGACCTTATTGACATTAATTAAGGTTAAATGCACAGTAAAATTAGGAGTCATCATTATTGTTGAAAACATTATTATAATACTAAATCATTATTTGGTTTGTCGGTATTAAGAAAATAAAGAGTTGAATAAAGTATGACCACAGTTATTAAATTAATTTGATAAAAAATATTTTATGAAACCACTTTGAAATATAAAATGTTATTATTTTTAAATTATACCTACAACATGTTAGTGTGAGCGTTGAAAGTTATTTTTGTTACGAAATGTTATATTAAATTAATATTAGTTGCATTTTCCTAAAGTTGTTCAGCGAATTTGATTACAACAAATTAACCCGAAAGTTACGAACGTCCTCACCGCTTTACAATGTATCTGACATCTTATATAGGTGTGTAATAGAGGATATTTTGCAAAAACCTAAAGTCAGAAAATAGGTGAAATCTTTGCCAGACTGTATAGAGGAGCTAGAGTCATCTGTGTGACTAATTAACAGCTTTGGCGAAACTGAATCAACTCTACAATATTCCTGAAACAATATTTAAATTGAAGCCCATAAACATTTACTTAATCATGTAACAGCAAGTTTTAATCACAAACAAATTATAATTAATTTAATTAATTAAAGCAGACAAGCCTAAATCTAAAAGTTATCGTAGTAACAGGCGACAGGACTACACATTGAACAGAGTAAGCATGGAGTTTATGGTAAAACCCCCCACTAAAGTGGAGGAGTCTCATATTCCAGCAGTGGACTGTAAAGGGCAGTTGATAAAGTCTAAATACATTAAGTACTACGGTTAATTAATTTAATATTAAGATGATTTATCTTTTCTTCAATTTTAAATTGTATGTAGAGGGGCAAAATACCCATTTCCACAGCAGCTGTACAAATGTAAGACTCTAAAGAAACTTACTAATCCACCGGCTTACGATAACATCTCGCCTATGTAGGTTTGTAGGCAAAACATACAGATTCATGGCCAAGCTAATTACATAATGTGAGGTCATTAAATGTTTTACACATACTAAGCTGTTAACTTCGAACTCCTCCTATGTTCTTCTGATTAGTTTCGTTGCGGGTCCAATGACAGTTTAGGACAAACTTGACCTTCACTGGTTGGGTTTTATTGGCGGTCAAGCTGTAGATCCTGGCTACACAGGAGTTGCAGCGGTAGGAACGAGAGGTGGGAATAGTCCCGTGTATACCAAACTGTTTTTAATAACCACAAACAGAGGTTAGTATTTAGTTTAAAACAAGCACTTTTCAAGTAGAATTTAATTAATGACAATCTGACCGTGACGATGTCTGTGGTTTAGATCAGCGGTCGGATTTAGAAGACATTATTATGTACACAACCACAACTATTATACGACCCGTATTATTATGAATGTATATTCAAAAAGAGATTTAAGCCTACTAGCTGGTTTCAATAGGCCTTTGACTTATACGTATGATATTGTAATTTTTTCTCCAATTTTCATGAGTCAATTTTAGTACTAATTGTACTAAGGAAATTTTTAATATTAAAAAAGGCTTTGTAGATTAAAATTTAGTAATTGAATACATAAAGTATTCGTTATGTTATAATAACCACGTTTGAGGTAATATAATTTATTAACTAAGTAGTGCATAACAATCAGTGAATCGTTTGCCCTCCAACCAATGTAAACCATTTCATATACGTACCAAACTATCCAATATGCTTTTAATACTCGCATCAAATAAATACTTTCTTTCTTTCTTTCAAATACTCATAGGAAAAAATGCTAACTTATTTACTAGCACAAAAACTTACAATATGTTTTGGAAAAAAGTCAAATTACCCACTATAACCTTAATTTAACTAAGTAAACAGACGGTGTTATAATGTAATAAACTGTAGATAAACGTGAGTACAATGAACTAAGTAGTTACTCCGAGGTTCTTAACATTACCTTACTATGATATTACGTAGTTATACACTAAGCTATCGTTGGAATGCTCAGTTGCACCAACTTAACTTTAACCGTAACTATAACTTTAACCGGTGTTTTTGTATGGAGTTTGACAGACTTGACGTTTGTTAAAGTTAAAGTGTCCCCGCAGGATAGGTATGCAATTCAATGCATTTTTTACCCGAAAAAAAAAAAAAAAAAGATGGTGTAACCAAGCCTTATACAGACAGACAAGTCACAAGAAAGTGTACCTTAGTATATCGCATAGATCTATCCAAACAACGCGCCCAAGTCAAAGAACAATATCGTAAATGCACTTACGATATTGCTCGAATGAACTAAGTAAAGAAAACAAACTTTATGTGAAAAACTCATATTGCTTGAGTGAGTGAGTGATATCAGAATGAAGACAACTTTCGCCTTATTAAAATGCAAATGGCGGCATAAACATAGTAAGGAAAAGGTTTTGAGCGTTATTTGTTTTGATTTGTCTAAAGTAGTTCACAGATCAACGTACTGTAAAAGCAAACCTTTTACATGGCCAAGAAAGCTCAATAAAGCTTTACTTGTTTATCTCGTTTTCAGTGGAAAATTTTACGTCAAAATACCAATTGAAATGGACTCATTAACTTTCAAACAAAAAATAAATTGGATAGAAACACTTGACATTTAATTAACAGTAGTTAAGTAGTTACTTAGAACTTATTTACATTGATAATATATTTATCTATGCAGATAAATGTGTTTTGCTAGCCGAGTTTTCAGCTAGGCATATTAATTTGAACAGAATAGCAGAAAACATCTTTGTGTCGCAATGTTTACCTACTTACTATGGGCGCAAAACGTACATTTATGCCTACAACATAGTTATTTCCTAAGCATGCTCACTTTCAGTTTAATAACACGCAATGACAGCATTAAAAAAAGGCAATCCACTCGTCGCATCAGCATAATCGACCATACAAATTCCGGGGCCATTATGCGAAATTTGAACCGTGACCGTAAAACGTAAAACTTGAATGAAAATTACAGCTGAACAAAGTTTGTGACATCACAGAATGCATCTTATGAGCGTATGGGCGTAACTTTTGCTTTTACTTGCACAACGACCTACTAAAGTGCATCTCGGTGCAGAAGTCGGTCGTGTTATGGAGGGAAAACTTTCGCTCACTTACTTCCAACTCGTTTCGACTGAGGCCGACATGATCGCGTGCGCACGGGCGGCGCGTCGGACGTCGCGAGAAACACTGACTCGAAGCACCGACTGTCTTTCAGACGATTTATTTGGAGTTGATAATTCTCTCCTAAAATAGCTGAGCACACAAAAGATTGATACGCTCAACGCTTAGTTTACGTGGTAGTTTGAAAAGATGGCGGACGAAAATAGTTTTTCTCGTGGAGCCCTCGTCCGTAGCAAATCGTAGCAAATAAGTGTCACACATTATAAAAAAAAATGAATAACAGGTACTATTTGAAAGCTTCTTGTTTAGGACAAAATTGTTACCCGGGACATTTTAGTTATTTATCTTGAACTTTTATTGAAGTTGATTGACTCTACATCCCTAAAATTGCACTAATTATGTGTATGTATGTATTAGGCCTGACTTTGGCTTCGACATGGTTCATGATTTAATTTTGATGTTTGCTGTATGCATATAGATTGAGTTTGGGGGTACAATATTAAAAAATATGAACAACTCTATATAAATATCAAAATACACAGGTAAACAGTCATAAGAGTAACACCGTGGGAAGATCACTGATCGCGATTGTTTCCAGTTTCAGCGAAGTTTACTTGAGGTATCCTAAGGCCCTTTTCACATGTCCCGGTTGCCGGCTAACCGGGACATGTGAAAAGGGCCTTAGCATTGTGTGCTTCTGGTTTGATGGAGTGACTGCAAGTAGTGGTCCTCTAGCCAATAGTGTGGCATTAGGATACTTTAAGGGGTTCTAGAGGTTTATTATTCTAGGTTCGTTCAAAGTTCGAAAAAAAAATTTAGTCCCAAATTAAGCAAAGCTTGTAACTTGCGAAATTGGCTCTAAACTAAATATTCAAAAAACTTTTTTTCAGGATAATTAATAAGTATAATCGTATTCCCAATTAAGGACTGATAAGTTATGATTGCAAAAAATATCGAGCGTAAAAACACATTTCACTCGATAAAATCAATTAAATGAGACATAATACCCAGGGATATTTGTGATGAAAACCTCAAGCATAAAATATTTAAAATTATTTCAATTGACAAACGCGTAAGCCGCGCGAGCCAATAAAAAAATGTGAATACTGCACCGTGATTATCATAAGTTAATTAAAATTACATACATATAAATGACTTACGGAATATGTCACAATCCAAGCTGGTTCCCCTGCTGGTACGCCATGTACTGGACCTCCAGGCCTTCGTCCACAATGCGTATCAGGTTGTACACCAGCACAAAAAGGTACACGTCTAAAACTGAAATTAAGATCTGTGTTATTAAAAAAAAATGTATAAGATGGGCAACAAATTTTTGCTAATAGCAACGCTTGATTTGACAAACTTACATGTACAGAATGAGAAAAGTATAAGTTCAACATGCACAATGCAATTGTATTTAATTTACGATAAACACACTCTCCTTCAGTATATCGAATTGATGCCGAGTAAGTAAAAAAAGTTTATAGAGTCATGTTTTGACAGTAACAACTATTCCGGATTCCCTATTACTTAGTAAAATTGCAATGGAAATAACTAGAATGTCGGAGTTTATCAATATAAAATATTAACTATAGGCAAAACGTAATTTGATCGATGGATTAGACACAATGATATTACAGAACTATAGATATGTTACGTTCATAGAAATTACGATTTTAATCCGTGCCGAGCTATTCCAAATTGCACACATTGACAAATGTAACTGATAAGTGAAACAAAAGATACGAAATAGCACGCAAATGAAAGAGATAGCTATAGTTTTAACGATTCTGCACTAACTAATCTATGTCCGCAGCGCACGCATCCTTATCGCTCTAACGTCAAAACAAGATCGCTTTCTCTTTCTTAACTTGAACATGGCGCATGGCGTCTTGATTGTTTGCATAAATAATTGAAAATATAAATACTAAATAATTTTGCATAATCACATGTGGTAAGAGATCCCTTGTATTTTGTTTACTTTAGAGTCATAATTGGTACACTTTCGAAACACACACGATGGCATTTTTTATTTATTTTGGTAAGAACACAGGAACTTACGGTGTGGTACGCACGCGATTGCGCACGACGCAGGCCACACGAAGACTAAACACAAGACGTCCCAATTGGGACGTATTTGAGTATTCACAGCGCGAGCGCTTATAACATATCTGCTTTTGTTTTTATATAATATCATTGATTAGACATATGATTCCGTGCTCAAGGGCTGTTTTAAGGCCACAGGTGGCTCGCAAAATCTTAAAACATAGTTAATTAATAATAAATTGTTTATTTTCACACCTTATAGGGCTTATACATTACATCTAAAGTTACAATTAGAATTAAACATACATTATGAAGGAACAGAGAATGGTGTGACTGGAGCCTAATGTAGGGCAGCCCTGTATTTCAGGACTCCAGGTCCAAATTGAGATAACTGTTGTGACTAAATGGTTATAATTCACGAAAAAATATATTTTATACTAGCTGACCCGGCGAACTCTGTTCCGCCTTAAAGGCAATAAATAAGCCGTCGCAATTTTTCCTTATTTGCTCACCGTTTAGACCTACCCTGGACTACGACAAACATTTTAAAACCAAAATCAGCTCAATCGGCTCAGCCGTTCTCGAGTTTTAAATCAGACTAACGAACAGCAATTCATTTTTATTTATATATAGATTGCCTACAGATGAAAAAAGATTTGAGTACGATGAAAAATAACGTCAGAATGTTTAAAATTATGACTAAAACGTAATTGTAAATCTTGTGTAATTTTTGCTGCTTACAACTTACAATATGGGTCGTCTTTTGTTTTAAACAACTCAGGCATGGGAAAGTGACCCTTTTTTACAAGCTTTATATTGACTTCACTTGTTAGTATGTGTGGGACAAATCTTGCAACTGAATTTAAGACCAGTTCTCCTCAACCGATTGAGCTGAAATTTGGTATACTTATGTAAGTACGATGACAATGCAATATTATGGTACCATTGAGCTGGTCTGATGATGGAGTCGGGAGGTGGCCATAGGAACTCCGAAACAAAACGGCGGAAACTCATCGAGTTTGGGTTCGTTGGATTAGTCTTTTCGAGCACTTTAGTGTTAGATAATGTTCAGGGTCCTGAGATTAAGATATAACTAAAAAGTGTAAAATAAAATTATAATAAAAATAAACTTTTTTAAAAACAAGCTTTTATTCTGAATTTCGAAAGCTTGTAGCGCAAACAGAGAAAAAGAGGAATTAATTTAATGCGCGATACAAGCTTTCGAAATTCAGAATAAAAGCTTGTTTTTAAAAAAGTTTATTTTTATTATAATTTTTGTCAAGGTCCTTTTTCTAAGGCAAATGTCCCTTGCCATGTGTTGAAACATATTAACTTGCTTTTGTTTTAAGCTATTTTTATTTCTTTTGAAAATGTGATGGGTACACGTGCGCCCAAAAACAAAAGTCCCTTTTGTTTTAAAGGAGCGTAACATTATTATATGATGTCCATAGAGGTCTTAACGACATACAAAAAACAAGAATAAAACAGATTGAAAATGTACAGAGCATTCTTATACTAATGCCAAAAAACAGTAAATTTTACATACATATTTTTATAGATTTAACCCTGTATTTATTAAAAAATAGAAAAAAATCGTGAGAGCCTACAGTGATTCTACCATAATTTTGTGATAATAACTGTGATATTATTGTGTGATTACTGAACTCGATGGTAAACCCCCGTAATCCAATCATAATAGCAATAGTTTAGTAAAAAAAAACTAAATTGCTTAGGAGTGTGTAATGTGTGTACCTACTTATCAGTCGCACATTATTTGCGCTAGCTAGGTAGGTATAGTTACGGTTTTTTGCTAACATTCTGTTGATAGTTATTAACTAAATTAAATACCCGTATGCAGAGTTTTTTAATCTTTTTTTTTTCAAACTCGATGGTAAACCCCTCGTAGGTATTTTATAAGAGGTACTTTTTTTGATAACATATTATGACGTCGTAAATTATATAATATGGTGTATGGTATTAAATATCAGTTGAAAAGATGTTATTGGTAAAATTCTGTAGTTTGTTGTCATTGTCAATGTCATTGTCATTTTCAAGGACATTGTAAATAAAGAAATAATAGCGAAAAATGACTCGCATTCAGCACCACTAATAATATAAATAATTCTTGCCTGAAAACAATGAGTAGGTATAACATCGTAACTTTCCTAAATAGACAGAATGTATGAAATAGTGTAGGATGGGTAAAAATGCACATTGCACACATTATTAAAATTAACGGGGTTGAAATACGACACCAATGTTTACTTGGCAATGTTGATTTTGCAACATTGAATTAATAATGATGCAACTTTATTATATATTCAAAAATGTCGGGAGAATTGAGAAAATTATATTATGACGCTCTATAAGTTTTTTAAATTAAATATTGTAAACGTAAACTGATAGTTCGAAATAATAGAAGTTAAAAGTTATCGAACTCTGTCTAGAAGTTCCCATGGTAATTTTTTCATGGAAAGTAACAGTCAAAGATACGATTTTTAGAGATTTCATCGATTTTTTATGGGTATTCCTAAAGGACATTCTCTTTTGCACTACAACGAAAGTGTCTTATTTCATCATCATCGTCATCATTTCAGTCACAGGACGTCCACTGCAGAACATAGGCCTCTAATGACTTTCACAGTCATCGACTGTCTTATTTACCAGAGGCAAATGGAGGATTTGGAATGCACTTCCTACGTGAGAAAGACTGTTGGGGAGTTCTGATGCTCACATGTTTGTCCCTCAGTCGCCTTTTACGACATACACACGAAGAGTAGGAGTGGGCCTATTGCACTCTGCTGGAATAGTATGGTATTAAAGTAATACAAATAGTAGGTATTATACTAATAATACTTACAAACGAGGAAGAAGTAAACAGTGTTGGCGATGTACTGTGTATGGTCGAAGATAATGATGTCCGTGCCGAGAGAGAGTGCTAGCGCCGCAGATCCGACGTACAGAAATATTTGCAGGAGCAATCGTTTGTTCTGGAATTAAAAATAATAAGAAGTACACTACAGGAAATTAGCTAATTGAAACTTTTCAACTTTTGTTGTGGATAAATCGTCCTTAATAGACGCGATGGATTTTTTTTATGTAAGATTTTCTTTCATTTCAAGCGAATTCGGTCCACTGCTGGACAAAAGCTTTCCCTTATCCCCATGGATCTCCACAACGAACGGTCCTGCGCTGCCCGCATGCTGGTGTTTTACTTTTATCAACTATTTTTTTCTAATCTCTTAATGTCTGGTACGGGACTATTCCCATCTCTCGTTCCCACCGCTGCAACTCCTGTGTATCCAGGATTTATAGCTTGACTGCGAATAAAAAACCCAACCGGGGGTCAAAGTTAACTGTTATTGGACCCGCAACGAAATTAACTAAGCAAAAAGAACATAGGAGGAGTTCGAAGTTAAGGTCCGACTTCCCTCCATTGCAAAGTGCATTTGCTGCAAAAATAAATGATATACTACCTTATGAGTGCCTATAATCAATACAGCTTGCACGAAAATGTCCACGAACAGGAATACGGTGGTCACGATTAGAACCACATTGTACTGGTTGTACGCAGCGTCAGCAGTGGTCAGGCGCGTCACCACGTCGCATAGCATCGCCGGTACGGTCAGCAGAGTAGCCGCCTAGAAATATACCACCAGAACCATATTGGAATTGAAAAAATATTGGAAACTTATCACCTAAAAATCGGAAAATGTAACTCTACATGCCATCTATTGCACAATTTTGGATCCTGTAGTTAAAAAAAAAGTAAACTCAAGTACTACTTAAGATTCGATGTTTCTTTAAAGTAAAAAACTTAGAAATGTACGAAAATACAGCGATATTGTCTTGAGTGTTTTTGAACATCTAATGTCAACTGAAATTACTGAAAATGTCATATTTTTGAAAAAAACAGCTATTCTTACTTTTGAAGTTCTATTAAACTAACAATAACATAAAATAAGAGCAATCTCTACTTACCATATTAATGTAGGCAAATATGAGAACACCCTTCCTGAGAGGCACACAAAAGCAGCACTTGCTGGTAATCCATATGGCTGAACATTTTGACACGCACAATTTCATTTTTATCCTTACTGTGAGCATTCGTCGTAGACATCAAAACCGATTTACTTATCTACAAAGAGAGTCAACTCGCCTTCTAGACTGCAGGGATGGCGAACCAATGGCACGCACCACAATATTTTGACCACGCCACGCCACCAATCACAAAATTCACTATAACATAGTAAATATGTGTTTTAAATAAGGTCTATCGTATTTGCCCTCATCAGTTGGTGCCACTGTAGAGTAAGGTCCTGTCGCTCGCCAGTGGCGCCACTTATACGATAACCCTCATTTAGCATTATGTTTGTGTTATTTGATGGCACGTCTAAGACTACATCAAACATTTTCTTTAGAAAAGTGGCACGTTAATTCATAAAGGTTCGCCATCCCTGCGCTAGAGAAAGGCCAGCTAAACAAACTTAGATGTTCTGTTTATTGCAATGTAGCCTTTAATCCTTAAATATTAGAGTGCTTGAACCACGAAATGCAAACATCGATCATCTTTTGAATACAGATTTAAATAAGACGTTTCCTGCCCATAGAATGGAGCTTCAAATGTAACACATCAGTTCCGTGTACAATGGATTATACATTTTTGTAGCAAAACAGCATATCACAACAATATAAGATCACAGTTCTAAATTGATGTAAAAATTGCAAAAAGTTAGTAAACAAATTGAGTGGGTATATGACTCAACATCAAAAAACACCTGGGTTATCTATCCAAAGAATTTCACTTCTTTACAGTTCGTATGACCTATCTTCTAAAACGTGCAAAGTCCTACTTGTGAATTGTGAAGGACTTTTGTAATTCAGACAAGAAAAGAAAAGTAAACTACGAGTATGTACTTACTTATGTGTAGCTTCATAGGCATAATATAATGAATTTTATATTTATCGCCTTTATGAGACCATAAATAAAAATATTAATGTATTAGGTAGTTGTAATTACTACTTAAGTATCTTAAATGATCAAAAGATTAAAGATGTCTTTCCATTTTTGCTCTACAAACCGACCGCCTTTTAACCGCCTCTGTGGTCTACTGGTAAGACCACCTGCTTCAGACGCAGAGGTCCCGGGTTCGATTCCCAGTGGGGGCAGATTTTTCTGTTCGGTTTGGTTGGTGGTAGGGCTTGTTCTAAGTCCGCCTGGCTAGCTACCACCATCTTACCTAAGTCTGTCGCCATAACAACAATGTTAACAGATTTTTTGTGTTACGGCAGTTAGAGGTAAGATAGCCAGTTCCTCCGTGGTTGAGGATTCCGGGTGAAGCTCGCTTCCACCTTCGGCCTGATCATCACTTACCATCAAGTGAGATACAGACCAAGAGCTTCCTCGTTGTGGATAAAAAGAAACAAAAATAACTTAACCCAAATAACTCAATGACCTTTATTGAGTAACCTACATAAAAGTACATGAAATCGCAATACTTTGTCATGAAAATTAGCTGTTTATTTCACATTTTTTGTTATCAATTCTGCGCGCAGATTCAATTTCACATGTTGCTGTATTGAATCATTGGCACTTGGATCAACTGGTTGAGGAATCGAGTCACAGCGTATTTCATATTGCAATCATGTTTAGGGGGTTGTGGAGCCCACGCACTGATGTGACTGAGTTCACAAGGTGTTGTTTTTGTCTACCTCTGAGACATGGATTGATCGCATGGGGCTACTTGAAAACGGTAAGTGAATAAAGCTCTATTAATTACTATTGAAATGATGTAGAGTTCTCTGTGGCTTATAATTAAAGCAATAAGTAGTTTTTAATTAACTTTTATGGGTTCAGTGGAGTCACGAACTGGTTTGGGGTGTAATCAAAAACGTAGTTGGCTGCTGAACTTGTATTTTGAAATGTGTATGATAGTCCTAATATCATGTGACATTACTGGATCAAAATAATAAACAAACGGCTGAAAACGATACTTGTGTTTTTTACTCCACTTTTGAGTATACATACATACCAGCCGAAGTGTTGTCCCGAATTGGTCCACTGTCTACGAGTCTATGGCTCTACCAGCCGTCCAACAAGGTGTAAAGCGACGTGAAAAGAAAGTAATCAAATACTTCATGAATTTGTCATTTCAGGTACTACTTTCAGTTCTCATATTCGAACAGTTTCTAGAACAATCTTATAGGGAGAAAATTGCACCGATGTGGGTCATAACTACAGCAGTTACTATAATTGATCTAATTTGGACTGCAGTTTTTATACTGGCCGGGCATATGGTAAGTTCAGTTGTTTAAGAAAAACATAATTTTAAAACAGCACAAACTAGCCATTATGTCAAGAAAACAAGGGATTTATAATTTGAGATGTAAGCCCCTGTAATACAGTCCTTGCCCTGAATAAAATCAATTATACTCATATACAGATACATACAGATGTAATACATAATAGATAGTAATCCATTAGTCTATCATCTCCTTAAGTTTGGCACGCTCTTCTTGTGACATCCTGTATAAATTAATGTCTCTTTTTTTACAGAAACATCGCTTACTGTTTAAATTATATTACAAGTACAGCGTATGCTTTCTAGTTATATTTATAGTTGTGTTTCTTGCAAATACAATAGATGACATCATTGAGATCGAGACTGGCCGAGACCGAGGTGGAGATGTCACTTACTTGGTGTATTACTTGTCGTATTTTCTATTGGGAGCTATCCCTATGATCGGTAAGTTCATCATCATCATCATCTCAGCCATAGGACGTCCACTGCTGTACATAATCCTCCCCCAATGCTTTCCATGTTGCCCGGTTGGTAGAGGACTGCGCCTTCCCTTTACGATGTCGTTGGTCCTCCTTGTGCTACTTAGAGATGGACTGTAGGTAGATATGTAAATTCAATCGAATACCTAATAACTTCTCCGAATATGTATATGTACCGCAGTCGAAACATTCAACCGATGTAAACTATCTCTAGTTCTCTTCATCTAAAGTCGTTCATTCCATTTAGGTATACTAATCCTCACTAACTTTCGCATTTACAATATCACTAGTTCGTACGAGTAGTAATAAACTTGAATCACTCTATTTATTGCTGAAAACTAAATTTTAAATAATTTTTAGTTTGAGAAGCGACTCTAATCGCTAAAAAATTTTAACAACGATTGCTGAAAACTGCTTTAAAATCAATTGCGTCGTTCAGAAAGACCGACAGCGGGAGCGACTTTGTCTTATACTTTTTATAATGATTTAATCATTAGGATAGGTTATTAAAATGTTAGTCTGATGTGCTGGCGATAGAGACAGTTATTAATTGTTTTTGGGGCGTTCAACGATTTTTTCAAGTTATTTTAAAAATATAGAGACACTTCTAAATCAGAAGATTTTCTCAATTTTATTCCAGCACTGCATGGTTACGTCACTCTGCTGGTGAGAAGCGAGCTGCTCAAGCTTGACAGGGCCAGCATTCAGTTCGTGAACAAGGTGAACGATGGCAACAGCCCCATGTGCCTTGAGGACGAGGATCATCACTCTACTACTTCTAAAGAAGTCTATTAGAATCATCAGCATCAGCAGTTCATTTAGACTCCACTGCCAGTGGGGGTCTAGGTCAAATCCTTCATTTTCTTTTGGTTTTTACTGCGCGACGTTGCAGTGGAAACTAACGCCCGTATTCACAAACACACACATAAGTGAAGCAGCAAATCGAACGCACAGCGTTGAATAGAGCTCTGTGATTGGTTCGTGTGTCACCCTGTGCGTCCACGCGCACTGTGAGTCCTCATAGTTGTAGTTATGTTTGTGAATACGGGCGTTAATGACCTGCTTAAGTACATAATTATTAGAATATAGATTTTTTTTCATAAAATGGACTGTTTTCTCCGTTCTCACAGATACATTTTGTTAAACCCATACTATATTTTATTAGTACCTAACATATTTTTAAAGTCATTGTGCGTAACTAACCCCATAGTCTCTAAGATGAAATTGCTAACTAAACTATTTGTGTGAAAACAAATGAGTTTAATTTTAGTGTGTTAGTAAAATGTAACATTTGTTCCGGGTTCAAAATGGCAACTATTGTTTTTATTAGTTTAAGTTACATTAGTCTAAATAAATAACTGTTTCGTTTCGAGATTTTTTAATTCAGTTTAAAAAAAAATCTGTTTATTGTACTTAAATAAAGAGTTATTCAGTTTATGTCAACGTAGCCTCTATAATTCCTTAGAAGTTAATCTCGTGTAAGTACCTATTTACTGTTAATGTAAAGGCAGAGGTATGTTTATTGCAGCTTATGTGCTTTTTTATTATATAATAAAGAGAAACAAGTGTTTTTAACCATCGGTATTTTTCTTCTTATACCTAATTACCTAACTACAATATACCTACAACCTACCTATCGTCGTCAGGCGTCTAACTTGGATCAAGCAAGCAAGTTTACCTAATAAAAAAAGAAACAGTATTAGGTACATTATGACAATGAGAGCAAACGTAGTCACCCCAAGCAAACTTGGCGGCGCACTGTGGCAGATGAGGTGAAGAAGATCGGCAAGACTTGGAGCGAGATCAAACGCGAAGCTCAAGACCGAACGCGATGGAGGACTGTTGTGGACGCTCTCTGCCCCATCTAGGGGACATAGGACCTTAAGTCAAGTAAGAAAGTCATGACAATGAGTCGGTGCTAATCTACGGGCAGAGATTGCTAAATCAAATTTACCCCACTAGAGTGCACGCAAACCCTAAAGAAAAAGCCTGATAGTAAGAACATGTTCCGATATCGAAACTATGTCCGACCTTATCGAAGTTATATTAGATTTCATTTAGTGTATTTTTTTGACACAAAAACTCATACAGTTTATAGTTTACTTACTACTACAATGTTTCATGTCAGTTCGATACGGAAATTTGATATTTTGCAATACCAGCCCATCCTATTGTACAATAGAAGATGATATGATGTAACTACATCCTACATAACTCATAACCCAATATGGATAATGTTTTGTCATTAATATTATCTGCGGACAACAGACATTGCATATGGAAATATTTTAATAGTTGTTCATTATTTAATCAGCCAACAGTCATAGCAGACCTTTTCAGATTTTTTGTTGTTTATAATGTTTAGAATACCATGGAGACCTCGTGTGGAAGTGCCAGAATTCAACAGGTGCTGTTTCTGTCTACCACTAAGACCCGGATTATTAGTTTGGGGGTATATCAAAATGGTGAGTTTTCTCTATTTTAAGGCCGCCTTTAGGTTTTACTTACGTAATTAACTTACGATAGGTACATTTGCAAAAGAGTGAGAGAGAGAGACATCCACCCACAAGGTGGACGGACGACCTGATAAAGGTAGCAGGAAGGCGCTGGATGCAGGCTGCTACCAACTGTGCGATGTGGAAGTCATTGGGGGAGGCCTATGTCCAGCAGTGGACGGACGTCCTGTGGGTGAAATGATGATGATGATGATGATATTTGCGAATGTAAACATTTGTAAGTAGCTACAGCCGTAAGTTACTTACATAGGTACTTACGTAGAGACAGAAGGAACTTACAATGTAAAGGCGGGGTAAGTCAGATTTAGCATCAAAAACATTATCAACATGTTAAACAAGAAATAAGCCAAAGTGAGATTAAATCCTTATCGCATAGTCAGATTACAAAGAGTCGGTTAGAAAGGGGCGGTATTACAAACATATACTAACAATAATACCAAACTAGCACTAATAACATATACCTACCTACTTAGTAGTCTTAGGCTACTGGGATCATGAAGATTTTGGATGCATTTAAGTCCTCCCTAAGGCTAATGTGCAGCGTGAGACGACCTCATAAAGGTAGCGGGAAGGGCGTTGGATGCAGGCCGCCATCAACAGGTCTACATTATAAAGAAATCATTGGAGGAGGCCTTTGTTCAGCAAGTGGACGTCTTGTGGATGAAATAAATGATGATGATGAAATCCTCCTAAGAGTGTTTTGGGGCAAATGAAGGAAAAGATGATTCTGCGGTTAGGCGATTATTGCCACGTTTTATTAGATACGCGAAAGCCAATTATTATTATTATTACCTACCTACTAGGTATTATTTTGTGGCCATACTACCGTAACAACAAAGAAACAAATAGAGGAATAAATATTTAAAATTGAATTTGAATTGGACTTCGAAGCTAAGCGTCAATATAACTATAGACCTTGTGCTAGCTGAGAAAATTGATACTGAGAGATTATGAATATTTTTTTCACAACGAGGAAGCTCTTGGACTGTATCTCACCTGATGGTAAGTGATGATCAGGCCGAAGGTGGAAGTGAGCTTCACCCGGAATCCTCAACCACGGAGGAACTGGCTATCCTCTTTAACTTAACTCTAACCTCTAATTTGAGATGATCTACAAAATTAGTGAATAGATTTAACCAAATTGTATAACTAAACATTAGGGTGTCCCTTATATGGCCGAAAAAAAATTTTTTTTAGATATTGAAATGCATACCCCCTATTTCTTTTCGTACTACTCAGACATACTTAAATACAAAATTTCATCTTCCTACGTCAACATTAACCCGTGCCGACCGAGCTCTGAAGATTTTGAAAAATGCTGAAATATTTATAAAAAGAAGATAACATTACAGATCAGACAATATATTTTACTTTTGAGGGACCCTTTTTTACATTCTGGATACAGATTTCCATGCTCCTGAATATTGGCCTGATTTTTGCTACACTGTGTGTAGCAAAAAAAGCTTTTGCTCTTCCTTTGCAGTGATCAAACCATGAAAATCTTGTATAAGCTTTATAGCTCTTTCAGCTGTATCATTAACTACTCTAAAGAAAGCACTTTTTTGCCTTTAAATAGGCAACATCTTTATCTCATATAGAAATGTGTCTCAGGGGGAAATTATTATCAATTTTCAATCGAGAAAATAAATTTATCCTCTTGACAGACACAAAACCACTCAATGGTTTTCCAGCAACAATAAATAAGGCAATTATTATCAATATCCATTAAAAACAGGATAAAAAATTACTACAAAGTTCTATTTACCATAGAAATAATCATACCTTCTTCAGATGGAATGTATCTCTTCCCAGAATCATACATACTCTCTCTTTGTACTTTTACTACAATGTTGACGGTGTTTGTTCATTACCTTCATCATCAAAGAGTGATAAAACGGCAATTTCTTCTGATATGAAGTACTAAAGATGTTGACTAAACTTGCTCAGGGCTGCTTTGGAAATCAATTTGTCAACACTCTCATATACCTCTTGGAAAGTGGATGTCAAGAGTTCCTTAAGGCTTTCCTCAGAGCTGGTAAGCTGGTCGTGATGTCCTTGCGTTTGTATAGAATCTTGCGTAGTAAGAGATGACGATAAACCTCCGAAACATATTTGCTCTATTTTTTATTTATTTATTTATAATTTTCTTTGTCTTGCACTTTCTACTTTCTTTACTAACTTTTTGTCTACACCTTAACACTCTGGACGCCTTGGTTTTATTTGTTTTTGTTAAAATATTTTATTTGTTTTTAAATCCTCCTCACCGCGGCGCTTATAAATCTTGAATTTTTTAAATAATTTTTCTTGCAACTCCCTCCAAGCATGGTGAAGATACACAAGTTTTTTTACACAGTTAGGGACTGGTAGGATTTATAGCTTTTCCCAAAATATAATACACTCCCGAATGATGAGATTAGAGCTTTCAATAACATTTAATTAACTTCGCAAAATATGTTAAAAAATACTGCGAAAATTTGACGATTAACGGTCACTTTGTGCCTATTATTTGATAAATTTACGTCCCCGACTAAGAAAATACTATTTTTATTGCTTCTTAATTCCACAGCCATCTTCTAAATGTCAAACAATAGGTGTTAATCACGAGATTAATTGAGAACAAATGACAAATACCGCGAATACCTACGCACCGCTACTGCCGCGCAACATGTTCCGATGCAAGTCGGCACGGGTTATCGTACTCCAAATGGCACTCNGTGTTATGATAAAAAACAGTAGGAGTTTAAATATACAGGGTGGAAACGATAAGTGATCTCACTCGATTATTTCTAAACTATACAAGATATCGAAAAACTGGTTACTGATTCTAACAGTGCTTCACAAGCTCTTTCAAACGGTACCAATAATAAGTTACAGAATAAACTGGAACTATCCCAAAATTCAATGTTTCCAGCTTCCATACTAAATGTATGCCGACGACACAATATAAGAAGTGTAATTTATTTTTTGTTAAATAATGAACTTAAAAAGTCGGTTAAATAAACTCGTAACTTGCTATTTAAAATTATTTGTGAAAAATATTAGTTTTAGGCTTTACTTGCTATAAAATTATCAAGAGATGAGTGCCATGACTGTGATAGTACTAAATGTATGGAAGACGGAAACATTAAATTTTAGGATAGATCCAGTTTATTCTGTAACTTGATATTGATACCGTTGGATAGAGCTCGTAAAGCACTTTTAGGATCAGTAACCAGTTTTACGATATCTTGTGTAGTTTTTAAAATTATGTAACTTTACCAAATGTATGGAAGCTGGAAACATTGAATTTTCGGATAGTTCCAGTTTATTCTGAAACCTATTATTAGCACCGCTTGAAAGAGCTCGTGAAGCGCTTTTAGGATCAGTAACCAGTTTTTCGATATCTTGTATAGTTTAGAAATAATCGGGTGAGATCACTTATCGTTTCCACCCTGTATTTACATAAATGATATTATTAATTACAATTTTCGGAAACATGAGTGTTATGAACATCGCCGGTAGCACTACAAATAGTATGAATGAAAACTTTAGGATGAAAAATTTTAGGAAGAGTGATCATTCGGATTTAAAATCGTTAGGAAGAACAATTTCGGGTAAATAACTTTAGGTGAGCCAATATGGACCCGGAGGCTCCTCCTGGAACTCTGTGTTTGATATAGCGGAGAAAGGACTCTTTAAGATCTCTAACTGGCTCAAATCTGCTCTTCTAACCCTAAATATTGCTAAGACCAACTATATTTGCTTTGCTATTAATAAACGAACACAACCATCTATTAACTACGAACTAAAAATTCACTACTGCGACTACAGCAACACCAAATCCTGCGGTTGTGCTGCAATCAAATGTGTAAACTTCACTAAGTACCTCGGGGTAACTCTCGACCAACGGCTATCTTGGCATCATCAAATCGATCATATTGATGATAGAATAAGAAAACTTGTGTGGATCTTCAAAAAACTGAGGCACGTCACTTCTCAAAATCTTCTCTACAGCATCTAGATAGCTTTGGCCCAATCTGTCATGATATATTGCATAGCTATCTGGGAAGGTGCCACAAAATCTAAATTCCTCGAGGTAGAGAGAGCACAATGATGCTTACTAAAGACGATGTTTTTGAAACCGTACAAATTTCCAACACTTAAAGTACCTACATAAAACCATGACATACAAACCCGACTTGATGACTGGTAGAAGACAAAACAATGTGATACCTATTCCGACTTGTAAAACTGAATTCGCCAGACGGCAATTTTATGTTCAGTCTACTTTTGTATACAATAGATTGCATAAAAGACTTAATATTTATAAATTGCAATACTTTGAATGTAAAAAAATCCTGATAAAGGGACTTGCATCTTTTGGCTACCATGACTTAGAAGACCTTCTTTCAAGGCCTGTACTGTAGGCTTTTATTCGAACTTAACCGTGTCTTGAGTAGTGGTCTTTAAAAACCGATCCCAAGATTAAAATCGTAGGGCTACCCATCGCACACAAACTCACACACACACTCTCTCTCTCACACACACACACACACACACACACACACACACACACACACACACATGCACGCACGTACACTTACAAACAGTGAGAATCGACCGTTATTTAAATATTTAAAAATTGTAAGAATTTGCTTCTGTAAAAAACTTCTACAAATCCCAACTAATATTATAAATGCGAAAGTAACTCTGTCTGTCTGTCTGTCTGTCTGTCTGTCTGTCTGTCTGTTACGCTTTCCCGCTTAAACCTCGCAACCGATTTTGATGAAATTTGGCATAGAGATAGTTTGAGTCCCGGGAAAGAACATAGGATAGTTTTTATCCCGGTTTTTGAAACAGGGACGCGCGCGATAAAGTTTTTCTGTGACAGACAAAAATCCACGCGGGCGAAGCCGCGGGCGGAAAGCTAGTTATAAATAAATCGTAAAACATAAGCTCCAGCTCGTCTC